CGCGTTCGTGGGCGCACCTCCGAACGAGCCGCTCTAGCCCGAGAGCGACCCATGCGTGATCGGCCACTCTGCCGATTGGAACGCGCGCGCCTCCGGTGCCAGCGGATGCCCAGAGAAGGCAGCGTCCTGTAATGTTCCATGGGCCGTCGCATCTGCACTTGCGCGACCGCCGTCGGCTGCGGCGCGTCGCCCCCCCCGCCCCTTGCCACCCCGTCTGGGTGAGGGTGCGGGTGTCTGTCGCGCTCGAGACGTTCCAGCCGCCCCCCCGCGCGTGTCGCGACCTTCCCCGCGCGACGCAACCCCCGGCGCCCAGCGCCCGACATGCCCGGTCTTCAAGATAAGAAAACCACCCCGAACCTCATGACTGGCGTTCACCAGACAGTTTTGGCCCGATTTTTTGTTGCGTGTATGCGTTTGTTTGAAGAGCTTCGCTTGCAGGGGGGCTTAGTGTGAGGGTGGCTCTTTCGCCTCTAAGGCTAACCCCCCCCGCGCGATCTGCCCCCCCCCCCCCCCCGCACACACGCACGCGCGCGCGCGCGCGCGGAGCAGCGCGGCGTGCAGCCGAGGTACCGGAACGAGGACCATTTGGGCTTCAGCATGGGGATCTGGTTTCGGGGCCGCTCCTCAGCTTTGGGACGGGGGGCCTACTCGTCGACGAGGCTTCCCGTGGTCAGAGGAGCCCCTGCGCTCCTCATGCAGGCTTCCCGCATGGTTTCACGGCGACCGTTGGCCCATGAACATGGGGCGAGAGGGGTTCGAAGCGAATCTATTTGAATGCTCTGGACCGTAGTGCGCCTGCTCTGGACCGCAGTGTGCGTGGCGGCGCCGCCATAGAACCGCCCCTGCGCGGCGGGGGATCGGTGCACGTGGTGAGCATCCCCTGCTGCGCGCCTGCCCGCGCCGCGTGCCTCATGCACGGCCCCTCGTGCAGCCCCTGCGCTCCTCATGCAGGGCCCCCCTGTGGTTCCGCGACGACCCTGGGCCCCGTCGCTGCTCTGGGGCCCAGGCGGGGGCTTTGCCGCGGGCGCGCGGCGCGGCCGCTCGGCCCCAGAGGCCGTCCCCTTCGCGGGTGGCTGGCGCGCTGCTCTCGTGGACGGGGTGCGGCGTCTTCAGGTGCGCCCCTCGCCCAGGTCCTGCCTTTCCTCGCGGCGTTTGTTGGTGCATCCCTCGCCGGGGGCGTTTTTTTCTTTGGTTTCGCCCAGGTCCCGCCTCTCCTGCGCGTGTCGTGTCTCGGGCCGGTGCTGCGCGCACCTCGCCTGGCCTTCCACCGGAGCCCATGTGCCCGAGGCCGCCCGCGCGCAGCCGAGCTCCGTCGACTCGGCACGAACGACATGGGCACGACAAGAGTGGGCACAATGCCCAAGAGCAGTTCCTGCTGATTTTGAGCAGAATTCGCTGTCCGCGCCGCCGCGGCCTGCGTCCGCTTGAGACAGAATGCCGCCTGCCCAACAGCGGCCGCTGCTGGTTTGGGGCAGCATTTGTTGCTGGGCATCGTGCCCACCTTTTCCGTACCCCTTTCGGGCGTCCGAACTGATGCTCCGCGGCCCGGGCCTCCTTCCCCCTTCTCCGCCTCCGCGGTCGCTGCTGGCTTTCCCCCTCCAGCCTGGTGCGCCCCGTGGCCCCGCCGCGGCCCGCCGGCTCTGCAGTCGCGCTCGCGTCCGCCAGCGGTGCCCACAGGCACGCTTCGTGCTTCGGGGCCCGTGCGGGTGGGCTTGTTTTCCAGCACCACCACCATAAGTTGGAGGGGGGAAGGAGGAGGAGGAGGAGGAGGAGGAGGA